TTGTTACCCCTCTGCTACTTTCTTTTCCCCCCAGGTCTTCTGCCTGTGCAGCACATCAGTGGTTGAAAGCCTGTTGGTCGGACAGTGTCCAGCAAAAAGTGGTTCTGACCTAATTCAGGACTTTGGCAATTGGACAGATCACTCATAATTAGTCATGAGAGGCCTCCTGCTCCACTCAGACATATTTGGCACACACAGCTGAGATAGGAATCCTCTCAGACTGACTGCTGTGGAGATGGATTTATGGCACCTCTGCAGTCCAGCCAGCACCTGGTGTGGAGCACCACATCAGGGCAGGGATATTGCCTCCTTCCTGCCTCCTCAGGAAGTTCCTGGATGTGATGGTGGCCTACTGAGGCCCCCTCACATCTTAGAGAAACTGAGTTTTCAATCCATGATCTAAGGAAGATGTGTAAATCTATATTTTAAGAGACAGTAGTGCTACAGCAGTACTGCTACTGAAACTACGGTGACTGACATACCTACACATCAGTGCACTGAATTTTCTATCATCAGAAACATCTAGCACTGTAACAATTGGTATGGTTAAGTCTCTGGCTTGAGATGAGAGGTGTATAATGTCATTTCAAAACAGCAGGAGAAAATAAACCATAGTGAAAAGGAATGTCCCAAGGTTGAATTCACTGGTAGCTCTGTAGCAGACAGCCCCAGCTTTCCAGAGCAACACCTGACTGACAAATTATCTAACCGCTGCCTGGCCTGCCAGCAATGGGCACCTGCTTAGTTTTAGGTGCTTTGCAGAGTTGTAGCCTAAATTGGTTTAGGCAGGCCTGGGATTGGTAATCTGTCAGTTTTGCTTGACAAGCATTTAGCAAAGATGATTAAGTAAGTTCTTAGACAGAATGTACTCAGCTAAAAAAAAAATCCCCAGATGAGTCCTAAAATTATTTTTTGCTATATTGGTTTCAAACTTTGCATCCCTATGCCATAGATACAAATCCTACAGATGCAGTTTGGTCTGTGCATATGTATGTTATCATGTTCTTGCTCTGTGCACAGATAGGTGTGGGCATGAATTACATGCAGCTGTTCTGGTCAGTGAAATGGTTAAAAGTCTAACTGGATTCAAAAAGCTTTGCGGAAAGTCTATCTTTTTGCATGCTGAAGAAAGTACTGGGGCAAATACACTGACAGATGATAACAATGAAGTCTTATGTTGAATTCTTATACACTAAACTCTGATGTGATTTCATCTGAAACCTTGTATGTATTCATACTGGCGTGGAAAAAACGTCAGATGAGGACATCAAAGAGGTGTTTATGAATTAGAGGAATAAAGCAAAAAGTGCTGATTCTTTCTTCTTTTTGAGGAAATCATCTCATGAAACTCACAGCAAGCAAATGCATGCTAAATATAGCAAACACTTTTGTTGTCACTATGAGCATCCTACTACAAGACATGATGGAATAACATATGATTGTAGGACTTTGGTAGCGATATGTCTCCTGACAGAGACATGAATTTTCATTGTGATCCCCTGTACGAAGGGAAAACTGCTCCCAGCCTACAAGTTGTGCTACACAAGGTCAGCTCTTCAAGGTTTATGGTAACACAGATTGTTCTGGATTTCTGGATTGGATCTACCCAAACACTCAGGCAAGCAAACAGCTTTGAATGTGTCCTGCAATAGGCTTCAATGGAATGACTCATGCTTTAAGAAGAGTCAGAATGTGAGATGTCTTATTGGGACTTCTTCTGGAAAGAGGAGAAACTACTACCAGGAGCTAAAAAAATCAGTAAAACAGAGCTATGTGAGTCTATGTGGGAAGTACACATGTGCTTGTGGTGAATGTTGTTACACTCATTCTTCTGTGAAGATTTAGAGACTGCTGAATTACTGCAGTTTAGTCTTCCATCTCCAATGCCAGATGAAGGAGCTGACAGATATCTGTGCCCCCCACTGAATTAGCATTGATCAAAACCTAAAATTTGTTTGGTTTAGCAGTAAAAAATGCATCTTACTTCTATAGTATGTATCCTTACCCTTTTTTTCTGCCCACTGTAGAGAGCTGCACATAGAGCTTTGTGGGGGACCTTAGCTGGACTGAGGCCCTGGGAAGGGACAACTTTGACCTTGAAAGGATTCCAGTCTACCCCTGAGAGAGCAAACAAGAACAAGAGGAGCTGCAAGATGAGCAAGCTTATCGGCTGCAGTAAGAGAGAATAACTCTGAACCAATAAGAAAAGAGACACATCAGAAGAACTGGTAACCCTGTACTTGGAACTAGTTTTAGGTGGATAGAGATACTAGAAAGCTTGGGAGCCTGAACTTTTGAACTTTTAATCTTACTACGCTTGTGTTATGAGCTTATGCATATTAACTTCTCTGCCCTGGCAAGAGCCAGGGTTAATTTCCATGAACATGCGATATATGAACACATACATGAAGGGGAATGTCGGTAGGCAGTCCAGAAAGTCTGTATACCCTGTACTACAAGTATAAAGGAACAAAGGAGGAGAGCAATAAGAGGGGCTTTGGTGTTAGCATGCTTTAAAGAAGAATCTGTCATGTAGTTTTGTCCATCTCGACTGTATCTTTGTCCATCTCGACCACAACAGAGATTGCCCACTGGATTTCACTAACAAATGCAGGCAGGTACTCTCCCAGCAAGCTGGGCAACCAAGTTTCAATGCATTTTGTGTACCAGCTACACTCTGATTCAAAACATAGATGTGTACCAAACTCTAAGGAGACTAATATCTATTTAAAATACCAGGCTAGGTATGCTTTTTCTGGGAAATGAATGCATACTGAAAACTGCTGAGTTGGGCATCTCTAGAAATTCAAGTCCACATGTGTGGTGCTAAAACAAAATACTTTGATTGTTCTGAAGGCAATATATACTGTTGAGAGTTTGCATTTCTTTGCTTTTTGTGGGGTGGGGTCATGTCCCTTGAGATGAAGGATTCAGTTTCTGTGTGTTCACTATTTAGCAAGTGCTTCTGGTAAAAGATGATTCTTGCTTACATTTCTCAGTTTGTTTTCTCTTTTGTTTGATTGTTTTGTTCTCATTTTTTCCTTCTATTAATATGTCTTTTGGAACTTCCTGGCCTACTTTAGGCTAAAAATAGCCTTTGTAGATACTGCTGAAGCTTCACACAAGCTACACAACACACAAACTAGGAAAGAAAACTTCATGCCCTGCTGAGCTTCCTTGAAATGACAAGCAGGTCAGAAATCCATATGACCAAAAAGCAGGAGGAAAACCAAATCCTGCTTTCCTGCTCTGGTTCTACTAGGCTTGCTGATGGTGCAAAGTGGGGAAACAGCAGAAAGACATGTCAGTGTTTTGGTTTCCCTCTGCCTTCTCCATATCCACCAAGGACAGCAGATGCCACTTCTCTTATGGAGAGGAGTGAAAGAAACAATGAAACTGCAGGGATGTGAAGCTGCAAATAAGACATTTTCATGTTGTTTCCAAGCAGTCATTTTTCAAATTAATTTAACTTCATTGATCTGTTGGGTAAATATTGGTCTTTGGGTACAGTCAGACCAACACTGCCCATGCTGTTGTACTGCTTAAATGAAGAGGCATACCTCTCTCCCACACTGAGATGTCTTCAGTGGGCTGTGCCTGTGCTCCCGATGTCTTACAAAGGAAAAGGGCTCTGGATACACAAATGTTTTCCTCTGCATTGCAGCAGATAAAACTGAACGCTTCTCAGCCTTAAGTGGATAACGTTATACTACTTGGCTGCATGTGCCCCTCAGTCCATGTGGCCACGGTGCATGCTGGGGAGACGCAAACAGTCTGAGCTTTCTGGTGACCTTGGGCACATCACCTCACTGCTGTGTGGCACTGTGGTCCCTGCCTGTGAAATGGGGGTAATGAAGTACCCAGAAACGCTTCTGCAGCTACCTTGGCAACTGAGAACTGAGATGCCATTGCTCCACAGATACAAATTGTGTTTTCCTGATTTACTCTAGTTTGTGGATGCTACTTTTCCCCACTATACAGTTGAGGCAAACTGGCAAGAGCACTTCACACACTTGTGGGAAGCGAGGACTCTGCGCAGTAACTCCTGGGTCACCTTTTCTTTGCCCTGCCAGTTAGGAATTTGGCTTGCATTTAAATAGTTGGGGCGGTACCAACCTCACTTCTAATAACCTGTGTGTGACTCGGGGGCAAGACTGAGCCTCACGCAAAGCACAAGCTGCTCTCTGGGTATTCTCACTGAGCTCGTGAGTAATAGTTTGTCGAGGACAGAGTATGTTGCGTAGTGTAATTTTGGAGCTGCCGGTTTGAAAGCTGCACAGGTGGATGGGGTGACGGGCGGTTTCCAAGTGCAGGCCTGAAAAACTGTGCATCAGTCCTGGCCAGCAGCCCTGCCCAGGCACGATAAGGCACAGGGACAGGAGCCATTCAGTAATGCCAGAGCCTGGGCCAGGGCCTGGATCCTGCCGGGCTGCCCTTGGCATGCCCCAAGCTCCAGGCTGCGAGGGTCCGCTAAGCCAGAGCATCCCCGGGATCCAGCACAGATCTCACCGCCGCGTGTGTGCGCCTTGCTCCCTGCATTCGGTCTCCTCGCCGTTCCCTTTTTGTGTGTGGGTGTGAGGGGGGGGGGGGGTGGGGTGCGCAGTCCAGCCGGTGGTGGTGGTGGGTGAAGCCACTGGAGCTGCATGCTCGCCGCTGCCGGGGGCGGGGAGGGCGCGGGGCGGAGGGGGGAATAGCAGGAGGGGGGGCTGCCGGGCCGCGTCCAGCCTCTGCCTGGCAAGAGCCGAATTACAGGTCGAAACGTCCCTGGGGTTGGGGGGGGAGGGGGTCGTGTTGCTCCTGCCCCCGCGGCGTGGGGGGAGCGGGGAAAGCCCCGGGGACCGCTGGCTGCGGCACAAAGGCGGCCGCCCGCCCGGCCAGGGCCACGGCAGCGCCGGGCCGGGCACGGGGAGCCGCGGCGGTGCCCGAGGGAGGGGGGGTACCCGCTCCCTCCCCTCCGCTCCCCACCCCTCCGCTAGCCCCTCCCCCCCCCGGCCGGCCCCTGTCCCCTCCCTCCGCTCCGCAGCCGGGGCGGGGGGCTGGAAGCCGGGTCCGGCGACGGGGAGGGAGCCGCGCCGGTGATCCTGCGGGAGCAGAGAGACGGGGGCGAGAGGGCGCGCCCAAGCAGCCGAAGGCCAAGGGAGGGCGGCCCCGGCCCCCGCCCCTCTCCGGCGCGCCGAGGCGGGAGGGCGGCCCACGATGCCCGGCCGGCCGCATGGACACCGCCGCCCGTAGCGGGGCTGCCGCGCCGCACCGCGGGGTGAGCTGAACCGAGCCGAGCCGGGCCGGGCGGGTGCGGGGCGCCGCTGCGGGGGGGCTGCCCGTGCGGCCCCGCGGGGTGCGGGGGGGGGAGCCCGCTGCTGGAGGCGCCCCCGGCCTGCCCGGGCGGCCCCGTGTCCCGGGGGGGGAGGGGGGGGGGGGGGGTGCAGCCGGAGCCCGGCACGGCCCCGGGGGCGTTCGGGCTGCGGGCGCCGGGGCGACGCGGCCGCTTCGCTGCTTTCCCGGGGCCGTTTCCCCGCGGCTTCCCCGCCGCCTCCCTGCGAGCCGCGACGGGCCGGGGCGCGGGAGCCCGCGGGCTCGTCCGGCGGCAGCGCGGGGGCAGAGCCCCGGGGGGCCGGCACCGGCCGGGGGCCGTGCAGGGCCGGAGCGGGCTCACCCGCGGCCGCGGGGCGAGCGGCGGGGACGGGGTGGCCGGCCGGGGCGAGCGGCGGGCCCGGAGGGTCGTTCCCGGGGGGGCACCTCTCTCCCCCGAGAAGGCGCCGGGCTGCCCCTCGCCCCGCCGCGGGAACCCGCCCCCGGGCCGGGGGTCCCTCCCCGCCGCCTGCGCGCCCGGCGGGGCGGCTGTCGGGGCGGGCGGGCACCGCGTTCCTGCCCCTCCGCTCCCGCGGGGGCTGCGCTCGCCCGGCCTCTCGCCGGGCTGCGGGCTCGGCTGGTGGTTCGGGAGCAGGCGGCGCGCTGCAGCGGGGCGTGAGGGATGCTCTGCATGTGGGGAAAAGACGCTTTGGAGCAGCGATGCAAAAATGTCACTAGATGCAATGTCCCTGTCGGGTTTGGATGTTTTGAGAGACTTGACCCTGAGTCTTTTTACATCTGTAGGAAACCTAGGTGGTACCAAAGGGAAAAAATGCAGGCATTTTGATCAGCTGTCAGGCAGTCATTTAAAGCTTGCAGGTAGTGAGCTGAGATTTCCTAGCTGACGGACTGAGGCTGTACAATAGTTCTCTTCATCCCTCTAGGTGAGTACGTAAGGAATAAATGCCTAAGAGTAACAGTGCTGCTCCTGCATGTGATGTGGTCTTTGTGGAGGCGTGGACATCTGGGACGGAGCAGGGACTTCAGGTGACATGCTCCCTATGGCAAAGGAGTTAGGTATGGTGAGGAAACACAGAGGTCTTGGCTCTGTGCTCAGAGTCTACTTGGGCTCAAGAAAGGAGGTTCTTTAAAACCTTTCAGTTTTGTACAATGGGCTCTTGTGCTTGACTTGGGAAGGAAGGCTTCCAGAGGAGTTACTGGAGAAGGGGTTACCTCTGAGGCAGAGGCCGCTCCATGTGCCTGCTTTGAATTTCAAGATCTGATTTAGTCTGAGAACATTGCTGCGGACCAACCTCTTTTTAAAGTCATCTCACTAATCTCAGGTGTGATTTTTTTGAGGGGGCTATTTCTAAAAATAAAGACAGGTAAGAACTTGAGGGAAGTCTTTTCTGTGTTTGTCCATAGCTAAGTTTAAGTGTATTGTGCAGGAGGAGACCCAGCTTTGGAGGCTTGTTACAGGGGAGGAAAAGGATAAAATTTACATGAACTGAGGATTTGTCAAGTACAGGGAGCTATGACAACAGCTCCCTACTACCTCCCTTTATTTATTTGTATCCCTTCCTCTCCTCAACTTTCACTGCTAGCTCTCACATGGCATATTTCAATGTTGGCTTATGCTCACTCTGGGTGGAAAACCAGTGAACCTGAAAAAACCTGCTAAACCCATGTGTGTCAACAAGGATGATATTCAGTGCTATTTCTCCTTTGATGATGGATGTGAACTTGTTTCAGAATATGTAGACTTACTGATATATAGACTTACTGGGCTAAACTGTGCTAGCTGTTGGTGCCTATTAACCTGTTTCAACACACACAATAAAGACAATGCTTTTTTTTTTTTTTTTTTTTGATTGATGAGACATCAGAGGAGAAAAGATGGGGAGATGTATCCTTAATTCCTCAGCCATGCAGTCACATCTGCTCAGTTCCAGAACCTTTTGCTGGATCTGTAATTGGAGACATATTTTGACTGAATTGAGAGAGTTCAGTAGCAGAAGGAGATTTTTTGAATTTGCAATTGCATCATGGCTGTCTTTTTTATTTTTGTTTTTGATATTATACCTTAATTTTCTTTGCCAGCTTTGATGATCATGAAAAATTTTCCTTTTTTTTTTCTTTTTTAGCTCATTCTGCCACTGCTCAGTGATATGAGTCTAGATGCACTTTGTTGTTTTGAGGGATTATTTTAAATTGGAAAACATTTCCATAATTGTTACTTCATCAGATAGTATGTTGAACTGATTAGCCTACTTTCTGCTGTTCTAATTTTTCCTCTTAATAGTTTCTGCAGCCACAAATATCTTGCAGTTCTGTAGCTAATACAACAACATGGAGGAAGCGTGTTTTCTAGTTGTGTTCAGGAGGACCTGTTGTGAATATCACTTTGACTGGAATTTTATTGTGGAATTGTCACTTACGGAACTAGGCCCTCAAGATATGCAAACTTCTCTAATGGAAAACAGCTACATATCGTCAGTGCTTAAGAGAAACATTTTTTTTAATCCACTAATCTGACGTGCTTGTACTGGTTGAAGTTATGGTGAAAGGCTAAGTTTTTAAGTTGGCAACTCTTCAGGAGTAAGATGTGTCTTCAGGATTATTTTTCCCTGTCATTGTTTCCTGAAAATAAAGGTAGAACAGAGACAAATTCTGCAGTGCTTGATGCCAGAAGCCTCTGTGAGCCTCTCTCTTCTCTCTCTGCTGGTTCATGCCAAGCAAGTCTGTGATACACGGTCAGTTCTCCACTAGTTTTCACACAAGGGTGCTGAAATCAGCTGTGCCACCTTGTTCTGAGAGACTGAAATCAGAGTGATTATTTCTTAGGAAGTGAGAGTACCCTTGCTTATGACAGCTTAAGTCTTGAAGCCTTTGCTTGATTTTTAGTCCATTCTTTTCCATGTGAGATTCCCATCTGAATTAAGCAGCTTCAGTTTTGTTTTGTCAATTTAGTTGGCATCTGGGAGATTAGTTGTCCAGAAGTTGCTGCTGTGGCTCTGACTTGGGGTCTGCAATGTTCTGTGCTTTGAATTTTCCAGCTCTGGAGAAGATACACGCTCTTCAGATAACCTGGCCTGATGTTAGATTAAGTTCTGCAGACTTAGCCCTCTACTCTTCACAAACCATGTTTTCTTTCTTTTTGGATTACTCTTTCTCTCTTTTTTTTTTTTTTTTTTTTTTTTTTTTTTAATTATTTAATCTGATCACAGACAGAAAAGACTGGGTGCAAACATCAATCAACAAACCCAGTTGTTCTCTGAAGAGCAGCCAAAGCTCCTGGGGTTTATAACAGGTAGATGTTTGGATGGGGCGTAAACACAAAACTAAGGACCAACATGTTTATTGCTACTACTGTGCAAAATTGGTGCTGCAGCTTACTCCTCGCATACCTGCTCTTACCTATTTAGGCATTGTTTGTTCAGTTTGCATATCCAGGGTGAAACTTGTTTTTCAGTGGTACTTTTAAGAAATGCTCACTTGGCAGCAGCTAAGAGAGCAGTTGTGAGTGGCATTGTTGTTCATGATGCATGTACTGATTCTGAAAATCTCGTGCTTTTGTTAAAACCTGTTACCACCAATGTCTATTGGATGGCATGAACAAAGGTTGAAAGGGAAGGCTACAGAATCAGTAGCTCCTCTGAGTAATCATTAGCTGGGTCAACATTCACTCATTAGCTGGGTCACTATTCACAAGATATGGGGTCAACATTCACCCATTTCATCCCTTTTTGGAAAACCTGTTCTGTTGATAGCCAGTACCCCGGGGCGTTGTCAAAACAGCGTTGAACTGCCCGGTCTTTGTTGTCAGTGGTCAGACCACCTTACAGTCAGTGCCTGAATTGCCTGTAACAGGGATGGGGGCAATTCCAAGCATTTGTAGGGAATAGGAGGTAGCGCCATTCATATGGTAATATGTGTTGTGTAACCTTCTTTTTTTCTAATAAACAAGTGATTTACAGTCTATCTTGAAATACCAGGTAACTTTCCTCATCCAAGTGGGTTTCAGTGTTTCATTTCAGAAGGATCAAACTTTGCTAATGCAGGGTGCAGGACATCCCATGATAGCATCTGGTGTGTCTTGCACAGCTGCCATCCTTTCTGGTTATAGTGAAAATCATATGGGAGTGACTGAGGACGTAATTAGTTGGAAAGGGGTGGCCACAGGTAGAGGAGTGGGGACAGAATGGTTTTATGCATATAAGACAGTGTTTTGATCCCTTTTTCTGAAGTTTTCATGCTGCATTATTCTCATATCTTAACCAGAACGAGTATTAGCTTCAAGTCAGATCCATGTGCACAAATATGCTAATCACTGATTTACTATTGTTCTCTAGGGATCTGAGGACCAGCATAAATGTAAAGGCATGCAGTCCATTGCCAGCTAATAGAATTGTAGCTGCCAGATAGAGGTTTAAAGTTACCCATGGGCTTGGACATCCCTCACATTTGGAGTAAGGTTTCTGCTTGTCTTACTTTAAAGGTCTCAGTCTTATTCATAAAGATACAGGGTCACTATGTTTCCACACATCCTCTACTTCTTTAAGCCACTTGTTTAAATAGTCTTGACAGTGCACCCCTCTTGATTTTTATTTTCTCTTTGTTGTGCTCTAGCAAGTGGAGGGCTGATTCTTTGCTCAGAAAAGTTTATTTTGGAGGAGCAACATTTAGAATTAATGGCTCTTACTGATGACAAAGAGGGTTTGCAGAATTCATTGCAAGTGTCTGTGAGATACTGACTCTTTTCATTGCTCTAAGTCCACTATTATGATCTTAGAAGGTAGAACTGATTTTAAAATTGAAGTTGAACGCTGCACAAGTGCAAAACTGAGGCTCATTCCTAAGCCTCTCTGAGGACAGATACTGTAAAAGTCTCAGGAAATGTGTCTGAATCTCATGCCTGGTGTCCCCAGCATAGTCTTGTCTCAGTGGACTAGAACGTCTGCTTAGAGA